ATCTGTCTTTGAATGTACCAAGGCAGTGCTTTAGGACATGATAGCGACGGCATTGTGGAAGAAAACGGAACCACGCAGAAAAAAGTGCCGAGCTCTTGCAAAGGAAATAAATATGATTAGTTCAATCTGGATACGTCACCGTTTTATCCTTGCATATATGGGCTCCCTGTGTTCGGAAATATTTCTTGACTTCATCCACCATATTAGGATTGTTATGAACTTTTTGAGTGTTAAATTACACTTGCTGAAWGATATCATGATTGTGTGATTTCGATTATGATAATTTAAGAGAAAAGGTTGAAAGCCTGAGACGCAACGTCTGGAAATCTTGACAAAGTGACAGTTGACAGTTGATTTCATTCAAAAAAGGGGATAAAACCAATGATATTGATAGACAGAATGTGAAGTTTGTTTGTAATGAAGCATTGTTATAATCGCTCAGAAAACGGAAACAGCATACTGGACAACAATAGAGAAACAATTACTAAGGATTTAAACTTTTTTCCCGTTCATCGAAGAGCGTGAGCACGCGTCGAATTTTCTTATTTTTMTTTTCCAAAATCCAGCAGCAAAACTTTTGATATCTGTTTGATTTGTTGARTGTATCGATATGGTTCGATAAATCGATGGATATCGCGTGCGATTGTTTAATTTATTGGTATATATATTTACATTTATAGAAGATTGATTTGTTTAGTTTGTTTCTTTGTTGATAGCTCTCCTTCCAAGTTAAATGAAAACTTAAAAGTTGCATCGCTTCTTAAACAGTTGGTGSCCGGAAAGCTCGCCTCGGTTTTTGTGCTGCCATGTAAAATTACACAAACCCAGCTGATGCAACATCTAAATATTATGATAAAGTCACTTGAAGAAATAAAACTTCCTCCAGCTAGCACGTTCTAATGTGCACGAGATTTTTTTCAATGTTTACTTAACAACTAAACATCATAAAAAAAAACTATCCTATGACACAATTGACGTCCTGACAATTCAATRCTATCATGGCAAACGATCAAACATCCGCTGACGCTCAGATTCATAAATTCAACCAAAACCCTTAAATATCATTATTTCTTGATGACGTCATCCAATTAGTGATGATAAACTGTTAGTTTTCATCCATTATGATATTTACCTGAGTCTAAAGTGCATGTTTCTCGATCTTTGACAGAATATTGAGGAAAAGCTGACCAAGTTTTGCTCAAATAGTTATAGTTTTTACAGCTACAGTTTCTGTTAGTATAGTCTTTTTATCTGATYTCTTGATCCTGTAATACTGTACTTATACTAAAGCAAAGCAGGTGAGCAATGGAGATTTCTTGGAAGCTTCCGACTCCTTAAAAACCTTCAAAATGCTCATTGAACACTGGAGAGGATTTAATGAGAAGAGCTTCTATTRCTAGACTGAGTTGAACTTTCTAGTGGCATTCAAGCAGGTGCCATATTTTTGTATCCCCTTTTGGAAATATCACGACGGGATGTGGAATATTTACGGACATGAATGAATCTCTTAGTTTCCTTCTAAGATGGCCGCATACGTTGCTTATAGATTTTTCAGAATGGCAGTTTTCACTTTGAGCTTGATCGCTTGTTAAATGATTATATAACTCTCACGTGTACGTTATTCAATATAATATCTCCATAACAAGCGATCTCTTGAAAACGTTTACTTCAGATACATTACCTTACACTTGCGATGATGAGGACTCGATCCGAACTGAGGTCAATCGCCCAACTGACTATAGATTTAGCAAAAGAATTGTCAAGAACTAGAAAGCTTCTCATAAGAGCACTCTTGTCTGATGGTGCTTTAGGCGCTTGAGAACTTTTAAAAGCTACACTCCATTCTTAGGAAGCTATTAAGTTAGAGGACCCGCCTGCTGAGCAATTGCTGATGGGCA